ATACTCCAACTGCAACTACAAGTTTAAGCATTTTTAGATCATGCAGGAATTTGCTGCTTCACAAGAACAAGAGGATCACAAACAATTCTGCTTAAAGCTGAATTTTAGGTAAATACCAAGGTGGGGAAAGCAAAAAGTGATTAGTGGCTAACCAAAATGTTTTAAAAATACAAGCTTTTGGAGCTTTAAACCTCTTTTTCAGGTATTATGACAGATAAAATGCTGAAAATTGCAAGGAAAAAAAAGGAATTTTGACTTGCCCATTAGTACCATATCTTGGAGCAAAAAACTGTACAATGGCTGAACATTCATAGACCATGGTTATAGACTGGTACCGTCAGGCGATTGGACACTGGGAAGCTTTTGAGGACACACCCTCTGCAAAGGCCTAAACCTGTCCTTTCAGAGTGCTGAAGAAAGGCATCATAGATGTCTATGGATGCCAAGTATTTCATGCAAAACGTTGTAATTTTAAAGGTATTTGTTTAGGAAGTTTAGGTCCAGGATATGACAAAAACCCTTGTTGGGTTTTGGTACAGTGAACAGGTTTCAATGGAAACCTTGAACCTGTCTTTTGGAGGTACAGACACAACTACCTCCTGGGACAAAAAATGGTTTAGAGATGGTTCATGTTCTAAAGATGAACTTAATATTTCCATTAGTTGCAGTGCACTTATTTAAAGACGGAGTCTTATATCTACTATAAAGCTACAGCATTGGTTCGATAATCACGACAAACCTGTCTTACACCTTTTCATGTTGCTGATCCTTGTTTGGGTCCAGCTTTGGTTAACAAGAAGGGCAGTACCATGGAGGAGGCTTCAGGAGCTGGTAACTAGAGGAATGGACCATGACCCTGGACATGAATAGCTCCCCACTCAGCACCAAGGTGAACACTCAAAAGAAGGATCCAGTGACCCAAGCAACATCAGAGGCCATCCCAACAGCGTGAGATCCAGGTACAGTTCCCAACACTGAGATTACACCAATCTGGATGCTATCCTAGCTAAAACTATAGAATAAGGCAGTGGAAAGTTGACTATAAATCAAAAATAAGGAAAATGGTTAAGCGTAGAAAAACTTTGGACAAGTTTTTCACCTGAAGATACTAGCAAAAATACGAGGTCCCATGGAGTGGGAGGGGATTATAGGGGTATGGCCAGGAGCAGTGTTCAAAAGCTTGGTCAGTGTCCAATCACCTGAATGTAGCAGCCTAAAACCTGCAGCCTGTGGTCCTTTACTGTACAAGTAAGACACTTTAAACAGAGTGAGGAAGGGTGAAAACATTATTAGGGCTTTGTTGCTTTCTCTGTCCTTGTTTGAGGAAGGAGGTATCTCCTCATGTTGTGTGGTCACCAGAACAGCAACGAGGTAAAAGATCTCCAACTAGGGCTCCTGATCCCTGTGATAGTCAATTACAGTGATCACATGATAAGAAAAGCCAGGAAGTGTGACTTTCCCCAATCAGTGGCAACATTTCTTAAAGAGATGGCACAAAAGGAATGGGAAAAAAAAACCTGCATACAGTAAGGGCCCACTGAATACTAGAACATGAGGGAAAGATGAGAACTCCCATCTGGAGCTTACCTGTACGATCTGTGTGTGGATGGGCTGTTTGATGAATATCCAAACTCCATAGTGTAATGTGAACGCTCTGTGGCTGGGGAAGGAGGAGGATTCAAAATCTACAATTTAAGGAGATAGGGGAAAAAAAAAAAAAAAGCAAAAATGTTAAATGTGCATTTTTAGCAGCAAATAAAAAAAAAAACTACAGCAGTAGAGAAAACTCACAGGTGGGAAATATGTCCTTTGGTGCTGGAAGAACTGCTAGATGATGCTCCGGTCACATGAGCACGATCATAAGGAGGTCCGCTACTCCCACCCATAATACTCAGTGAGCTGATGACAGACTTGCCTCGTGACATGCCTGAATAGAGAGATATGACAATCAGATGATAGAAGTAGAAGCTCTGGATCTTCTAAGTGGTTGAGATTACTTTATAGAATATCAAACTATCACCACCATATTTAATGTGAAATGTGTATCCCATCACTGAAGGCCAATTATGGCTCAATAAAACTAAGCAATGCGGACTATAACTTCAATGATTAGGGCAGAGTAAGAGTTAACTACAGCTTCTGAACTGATGAGAAAATATTAAAGTTGAACTCCAGGCAAAAAGCCAAACGCACAGTTGCAATACATACGTTTAGAGTTTTTTTGCAAAGGAATTGTAATTTTGACCAGCATTCTGCGATAGACACAGCTCTGCTGATCAGGATACTTCCTGGTTTAGCATCTTGCTCACTGGATAGACCAGAAGATGCATATTCATTGCTCAATGACTGAAGGTGACACAGGAAGCCCCACTTTTCAAAAGTACAAAATACATTTGTACACAAACGATTCTTTTATGTGAAATCAGTAAATAAAATTGTGGTGGGTCACACCCATAACTCAATTGCCTTTAGTGACAAGAAATGTTAGTCTTCATTAAGCCTTAACACAGGTCCCCTAGTGCATTCTGTTCTGATTTTATTAACATCGACTGCTCAAGCCCTGAAGAAGCCTTCACCTTTTAAAGTGTATTTTCAACACAGTTACTTGACTGCAATTATCTTGCATATCTTAACACTGCGGTTGGTGGACGTTTAACAGAGCAGCTCTTGAAAACTACCAGAAGTGAACTATGCCCAAAATTTCCAAGGCAACTGAACACCAGCTTCTAAACAATTACAGCTAAATAGCTCCTGAACAAATAAAGCACATGCGCATCTCACAAAGCCTCTAAAGTGCCAAGTACTTTTTTTTCACGCATAATGAATTATGCATGCAAGAAGTGTTGGGCACTTAGGACGCTTTGTCCAGCACAGCTTCTGGGCATTGACAGTGCTTGGGGCACTAGCTATTTGAATAGTGGCTGAATAGCATTGTCAGCCCCACATCAGAAATAAGGTTATAAAGCAAGGCAATGACAGTATCACCAAGTAATCTTATAATAAGTTAGACTAAGATCAAGAAAAAAAAATGATTTGAATGGGAATATATTATGGAAACCTTCTATAAGATAATTTTTCACTACAAGGAAGTCTTTGATAGTTAGATTTGTATAACTAGTAATATGCAATTATTTGATCTAGAGCATTGGCTCAACTACTCTTTATATCTATGAACCAATGATAGAGTCTAACTTGAATACATAAAATGCTTAGGACTTGTTATTGTATGAAATCCTTAAGAAGCAAACAAAACCCCCAAAAACTATTGTTAGCCACATATTTAAGGGTTTCCCTAATCTCCATGCTAAAATGGTATCATGCAGAAATTCAGCACAAATAAACTGCAGGTTTTCAGATGGCACACCTAGACCTGAGAAAAGATATGATTGGTGGGATGTGAACAGCTAACGTTTTGGGAACATTTCTGTAAGAAAATGCTGGTGTACACACACACACTAGAGGCAGTTAAAGGAAAAGCCCAGAGGGCAGGAGGAGAGCTCCACTCCACACATTGTGTCCCTAAGCAGGGATGTAACATGACTCCACTGACTTCCACAATAGCTTCACAGGGGGTCAGATGTGGCTGTTCATTGATTTCTGCAATAAGATACTGGCTACATCCTCAGAAGAAATCAAATATAAAAGCCACAACAAAGGGCCACAGAGCAAACACAGTCTATACACCCTGCCAGCATGAGCGCTCCACCTATAATTCCTCTATGCAGGGATCTTCATGTGGGGGATATAACAAAACATTTTAGATGTAACCTACAGTTAAAGCCAGCCAGATGTGGATCAAAATTTGTCTGCTACAGCAGTTACCGGTCAAATTTTGATCCATACATGGGGCAGACTGGTTGCACAGAAGTCAATCTACAGATCAACTTCTGTAAAGCTAGTCCGTTGTAAAAGTTCTGCAGTCAGCGCTGCCGGCTATGTCCAGCAGCACTGATCATTGCATTCTTACAGCAGTGAAGTCTCCCTGCTGTCAGAACACAATAGCTCTGCTGGGCGATATCCCCCCCCCCCCCCCCCCACCTTGAATGTGTAGATGGGGGAAATTGGGTCTTTTTTTTTTTTCTTTCAACCTACTAGTTGGGGGGGGGGGGGGGGAGAATACCAATACATGGGCTGCCTAAAGCTGGTCATAGATGGATAGAATGTTGAACTAAAATTCTGAGGAAAAGTCTTAAGAAAAAATGTCAGAATATTCTAAGAACATTCAATTATGGTTTTAAAGATTTAATTTTCTTTCAACATTTGATTTTAGAATGAACAGAAATTTGTTCAATCGATAAAATTTTCTGTCCTACTCTCGTCACTGCTTTCGAAAAATTAACGTGGATTTAATCCACTAATGTTTAGAGAAATTTAGAATCTTGTTTTCCTAAGAATTTTCATTTGAAATCCTACACATCTATGGCCAGCTTTAGTTGGCCGTTCTTGAGAGGAGACAGTAACATCATACTAGCATTATTGGTGCAAGCAAGTGACCACTTCATGTACAGAGTACAGATGGTCTCAAGATCTGTAAAGGATCAAGGTGGTTTGAAAATTTTACCCAAATATACATTTGCCCAAAACTGAATCCTCCTTCACTTGATGTAATAGGAGACGGTTTGGATGGTTGCTGATGCACAAGGGAAGGTTTTTCAGGGGGCCGGATTTGAAAACTATCAAAATGCATAGCCTAATTAAAACATCTAGCCTCATTCATGAGATAAACATTCCTTCTTAAAAGGAGCAATAGTGCTTCAATATTACCCATTAAGGAAAATTTTCCAGGCTCATCCAAATAAAAGAAATCTCTTCAAAAGGAGGCCAAACCTCTCAATCATGTATTGCCCGAACAAATGACCCCATTGAAGGATTTTATTTTCTGTTTCGCTCAGCTAGGTGCACTGGATACAAATATACAAACACAAAACACATGTTCCTCACCAGGTAGCGATCCAGTAAGGGAGCTGGGATGGGGGACATAACCCAGCGGTACAGAGGCTGGCCCATGCACAACATAGTCATTAGCCATGGTCTCTCCATCACCTTTCATGCGGGGACACAGCACACGCTGACACACAAAGTAAACTCCGCCCACCACGAAAACCGTAAGAATAACCCCAATGATAGAGCCAATGGTGTTGGTTGAGGGTGGAGGTGGTTCTTCTGTAGGGTCTAGAAGGATCAAAAAAGTGTAATGTCAGATTACAGCAAATTAAAGACCAAAACCAGTTAAATAGTTAAATTAAATACATACAAGTATTACCTGCCACAGATTGTATAATGATGCTAAATACTTTTGTGATTCCCCGCACACACCACCAATTTGCTTTCTAGCTGCCTAACATAAGGGGGTGACAAAAATGCAGTTCTTGCCCCACCTCCTGCACTTCCACTATCACCACACTGCTGTTACTCACCCTGGGCCCCCTCTCCTTCACATAGCCCAAAAAACTTCCTCCACACCCCCACCCTCTGCTCTGCAATCACTTTACAGAGTAGTCTTTCCTACTGCATATCAATTTTAAACCTGCGGCTGCTATGTGGGGTTCTGAAATAAAGTGAGATTTCAGGTCATTACACTGGTTGAGCAGAATTTTGCTGGAATACCTAAATTAACCAGTTTTATATTTTTGTACAGTGACTTGCGGATCACTTACAGCAACCCAGTTCATCAGAGCTGTCGCTACAGTCTCGCTTGTGGTCGCACCGCCGATGTTTGCTGATGCACTGTCCACTGCCGCAGTGAAACTGGTCTGGTGTGCAGATTTCTGAGAAGATAAGAATCAGCAATTTTCAGTATTTACACAGATATATGACCAATAAGATCATTGAAAAATGAGCAGTGTGGGTCTCCCAGGGGGGAAATGAAAATTCTGAGATGCAGCACTAGAGGGATTGCAAGCAGACTGAAGAGGGTCCTGATTACCATCTATAGATTATTAATCATCAATAGAGGGATCATCAGCAGGAGAAAGGAGGTCCTTATTGCTTTATAAAGATCTTTATCACTAAAGGGATCACCAGCAGGAGGAAGGAGGTGCTGATTCCCATAAATAGGTCTCATTTATAATACTCCGGGGAATTCATAATGACTCCAATGCCACTTTTCTGAAGATTGTCCCCTTAAGAAGTACCTGCGCCTAATCCAGGCGAGAATTTGCATCAGTGTGGGTAACATTACTGGTATGTGCTGCCAATTCAGTTAGTTTTTACTACTGCCCCTTTTAGAATCTATTGCTATGACAGTGACAAATTCTTAAAGAATTACCACCAGTTGTTGGTTTTGGAAATTTGCAGTAATCAAGACCTACTTACAGAGGTACGCCACGCCTGTGCTGTATCTCTGGCCTTATTTAGTTATCTGCAGGGAGATTATCTGGTCGAAATCTAAATGTAAATGATAGGGAAGGCCTTGAAATTTCCACTCGCCTCCTCGCATTGGCGAGTGGAAATTATGGTGGGGGTGAGTGTGTCCCCAGGGCCGTCTTGCTGAGCAGGCTCGGAACTCAGGGCTGGATCTGTCATTCGCACTGGGGAGAAAGAAAGAAAAGAAAAAGAAAAAGAAAAAGGAAAAGGGAAAGGGAAAGGGAAAGGAAAGAACCTACTAGATCTGAATAGCTCTCAAATTGTATGAGCTAATCACACAGCATAAATAATTATAAAGACCATTCTGGGCTAGGTGTGTTGTATTCTCTGTATTATTGGCACGTACCATCACAGTTCTTCTCGTCAGACTTGTCCTGGCAGTTTGCATCGCCATTACATCTTCGTGAGGACTCTATACACTGCCCGCTGGCACACTGAAACTGGGTATCAGAACACATAGGGCAGTTTTGCTCGTCACTGTGATCCACACACTCCGTGAAACCATCACATCGCCACTCAGCAGGGATACAATCTACCTCCCCCGTGTAGCAGGTGAACTGCTGAGGGGAACAGGTTGGGGGTTCTAAAAAAGAACACACAATATTAAAACCAGGGATCTCATGACCTGCAACTCTCAAATGTGACATGTGAAGATGCGAATTAACACTGCATAATTTCTACTGCCAAATCCTCCTTTCCTCTTAGAACAGGCCCTCTCAACCAGGGTTCATATAGAGGTTGCAAATCGCAATTTCTGCAGCTCAGATAAGTAAGCACTAATTTCAATGATCTTTTAAGCTAAAGAGAATTTCTCCCCTTGTGCACTAGTGTGAACGTTCACTAATGAATGCTTCACTGACCACCAATGTGAGGGAACATTGCAGTTTTCACTTTCTGTATTTCTTTTGACTCTGCCATTAATTATGTAGCTCACTATTTTATTATTACTGAAAATATTTTTATTAGCAAGGGTTCCTTGAGACTTCTGTTATTTTAGGGGTCCCTGCTACTTAAGTTTGAAAAAGGCTGTCCTAGACAAGCTTTTTTCAGGCAAAAATCTCAATTCTCGCACTATACAATATAAGCACCTTCCACTAACCTTTTCAAATAAATACTTATCCTACAGCAGTCCAATCATTAATTAAAAAAAAAAGCAATCCTTGTATGAAGAAGCCAAACTTAATATTTTTAAAATATAAAGTGAGAAGCTCACAGTGTGCAGTGAAATCAAAGTAAATATTTTCAGCACAGGAGAGGAGCCTGTACAACTGTGCAAGACAGAAGCAAAGGCTGGAGTTCAGCTTTAAGTATGATTAAACTGTAAGCCGGGGATCATTAACAAGTAGATCATGGCCAGGTGACTGGTAGATCACGATCTGGGCTTGCTGACCCACCATCCCAGGGGATTAAACAAAGTGCAATGCAAAGTGACTACTTGTGAAGTTGGAAATGTGTAGGGAGCAAGAGCTGCATAAGCCGATGCCTCCTCTGTAGTGCTAGCCCCTTTCCCATGCGGAGTGATATTGCATTCCACCTCTTATCCCGGCTAGCGGTTTCCAGAGTGGTGCCAGTAGCAGGAAAGAAGAGATCTTCAGGTCAGTGTAAAGTAATATACTGGGCACAATAGTTTAGGACTGCTTTCACACTGATGCACTACGGTTTACAAATGCCATGGGTGCGGTGCAGTGCAGTGTACCGGCAGCTTTAATGCGGGTAAGCAGCGCTTAGCCATAGACGTCAATTACATCCTGCGGGTTTGGTGCACTTTCTAAAAGCGCACCAAAACTCCTGAAAGAGCACCAAACCCACAGGATATAATAGAAGTCTATGGCAAAGCGCAGCTAACCCAGGAAAGCCGCAGGTGCACTTGTACTGCACGCACGGTGCAGGTAAACCGCAGCACAGCCTTATAAGGGAGGACAGGAAGTGAGGAGACAACATATTGCCTCCTCACTACCTGATTTAGGCCTATGATTGTGTACAATGTACGCGACTGCAACATGGTAGTATGGCAATTAGTTGTTTAAATCAGGTGTGAAGAGACAACACTGTGCCGCCTGGTGATCTTTGACTTCTCCCATGTTGTTCAGGTAGATCTCCACCTCTTTAAAGCTGCCTACCCCTGCTCTAGGTAAATGTCTTTATGATCAAACAGCACAATCCACAGTGTAGATGTTCTACATATTCCATATTCACAAGAAACCTTCCAATTCCCACAGAACAGCAGATATCCCCATGACGGGAAGCAGCTTCCTACCTCCACAAGACAGCTCATCTTGGAGAAGCACCAGGTGCATGGGGCAGGAGCAGCGAGTTGTTCCATCTCCCTTTACAATACAAATGTGGGAACAGCCACCGTTATCCTGAGAACATGGATGCTCCTCTGCAAAAACAGAAGAAAAACATGAAAACAAATCCTATATTATGTCAGGTTTGCAAAGCATGATAAAACTTATTTTGGACAGTGTGAAACAGGTTAGAGACTTGCTAAGGTTTTTATTGCAGTCTGTGCTCCTGTCAGGGAGCGTTACCCTAACTTCCTGTCAGAACAGGATGCAATGAGAAAACTTTTCAGCCAAAAACATGTTTTAAAGTGTAATTAAAAGGCATTTTTTTTTTTTTTTAAATTTTGGATATTGAGTGAAGAGATTAGGATCCCTGTTAGGTTTTTAATGTCCTGTGTGTCCCAGTAAGTGGGATTCAGGCTATTCTATTTCCAGTTATCATCAAAAGGAAGAGTAAAAGAAAAAGCCAAAATTTGGGTTGACACCAAAACAGGAATAGAGGGGAACCTTCCAAATGGGACACTAGTTCTGGTCACACCCTGGGATTCCCTCATTTGGAGAGATTTCATCTCACTTCCTGTTTTGGCAATGAGACAGAAAGCGAAGGGAAATCTCCCCAATGGCAAAAACAAATTCTTACTCTATCCAAAATAAAAAATATATTGCTTTTAGTTTTGCTTTTTTTTTTAAAAAAAAAAAGGTGTTTATCCAACATTCTGAAGTAAAGCTTACAAAACAATTGCCATCTGCCAACAAATGATGACAGTAACATGCTTTTAGCTCTACTTTAAAATTTTCTAAATCCATTAGAGATTGACAATTTTCTTTCCTAAGGATCATGGTCCTGGGGATACTGGAACCCCCAATTCCTCATATGAGCAACCACAGGGAAAGCCTTTTAAAAAAAAAAAAAAAAACAACCCACCATCAAGCCCCCAATAAAAGGATAGCATGAACATTACATCACGTCACAGTAGTATACTCTGCTGCCCTTCACATCACCATCCCCCTACTATAGTGTCCTCTACCCCTCTGTTTGACCCACCACCACCCCTCCCCTCTGTGCCCTGCTTCTTTCAAACTGTGACACCCCCCCCCCCCCCACTGTAGATTCTGCCCTTCCAACTACCAACATAGCAGGGTTCTCTGGCCCTTTCACATCAACCCTGCCCCTTTCAAATTGGACCCCCCCCCCCCTATCCCCACTGTAGTGTCTGCCCTTCCAACTACCACCATAACAGGGTTCTCTGGACCTTTCACATCAACCACCACAATGTAGTGCACTCTGCCCCTTTGCGCTCCCTCCAGCATTGTCCTCTGCCCCTTCACATCACCCCACCACTGTAGTGCAGTCTGCCCCCCCCTGCTCTCCCCCTACCCCAGCAGTGTCCTCTGCCTCCTCCACATTGCCTCCACACTGTAGTGCCCTCTGCCCCTCCATTATAGTGTCTGCTGCTCCCCCCCATAGCAGTGTTGGCTGCCCCTCTGCCCTCCCCATAGCAGTGTCCTCTGCCCCCTTCACATCACCCCCCTCCCCACCAAACTGTCCGCAGCCCCTCTCGCCCCCTCCCCACATAGCAGTGTCCTCTGCTTCCACCATATCATCCCCTAGACACAAACAGGAGTGTGCAGGTAGCATTTTCCTACCCGTTGTAATATGGACAAACAGAGCGGAGAGCAGGAGGCAACACAGTACTTAATGAGGGGCAGAAGCAGGAGCTGCCGGTGGCAACTTTTCATATCAACAAGCTTGTGATTAGTTACTAGGACCGCCCAACTTCCTAACAATCAATTAACTGCTGGTTAACTGCTGCAGCTCAAGATCCCGCCCTCGTCCACTTTGCTGCCTCCAGATCTCCACTCTGCTGTGAAGATGAGAGCAGCAGAGGCTGAGGGGAAGGACCGGCAAAGCAATTTTCGATATCTACCTTTTGGCTGGCTATGATCGACAAGTAGGTCATGATTCACGGGTTGCTGACCCCTGTTTTACACCCAACACTGAGGTGTGACAAAACAAATGATACTATTCAATATAAAACAATTCCCCCTTGCAGAGCTGTGGTAGCCCGTTCGGCCATGGCAGAGTATAATGTAGCCCTGATACTATGTGGACACTCACTGTATTCCTGCATGCTGAGCTCAGTCACTGCATGGATGTCAGTCAGAAACTGAATACGAGCCTGGATTTTGGTGCGTCCTTCACGTCCCGTTTTTTCAATGCGCTCAATCATCTGCTGCTGTCTGTCGATCCAATAAAGGTGATTGCCAAAGACAGTGAGCCCCACTGGCTGCAGCACATTGGAGTCCTCAAGGACAATGCGGTTCCCCCCTGAAGGTAAGAGGTGAATATGATTATTATTATTAACTCTTAAGCAAAAACCATAGTTTTTTGGTTTTACACATTATGTGATAGCCCAATTAACTTATGCTTCCCATAGAAATTCATTAGCATTTAAAAATAGAACTTCAGGACTTCCCCCCTTCCTCCTGAAACCCCCTTTCCCCAGGAATTTTTTATTGTTTTGCAAACACCTTTACATACCTTTTTTCTTTATGTCTTCTTACTGGTCCAATGACACCACTTCAGCTTTTTTCTTCTCTTTGTTTCAGTGGTGGGCTTTTTCCTAGATTGGGTGATCCTGACATGTGAGCACCATTCAGTCCTAAAGTACCATGAGCCCAGCCTATGAGATCATGTGCCCCCTTGGGGGCGGGAGGTTGGAGTAAAAACACTGACTAGTGTCATTCTGCACATTGTCCTATGAACCCAGAGTCACTCTGCCCTGAAGAGGACATCAGGTGCTGAACCTAAAGGGGAAGGTGGGGACACTGCTGGAGAGGGGCAAAAGCAAGGAAACATTGGCCATTTTTTACCAAATTTTATTTTTTTTGGGGGGGGGGCGGGTATTGGCTTACCTATAAAATCTTTTTCTTAGTGTACAGTACAGGACACAAGCTACTTTCAATCTTGACCATGGGTAACACACTACCACTTTCAGGTTAGGACACTTGCAAAGTTGTAAGGACAACCCATATAACTTGTCCCGCTTCCAGAAATCCTCGGTATTTCTGCAAGTAATCAGAGAAAGACACCAAGACAAAGGGGAGGTAACCGGTGTGCTGTACTGTACGGAAAGGATTTTACACGTGAGTCAAAAATAATTTTTTTTTAATCATACAGTACAGTAGGGGTGCTCAACCGGTGGCCCTTGGAGCCCTCTGATGTGGCTCTCGAGCTCAGACCAGGAAAGCGCATGCCCAGGATCAGCAACTCTCATCTTGATCTGATCCTGCCATCCCAGAGCATCAGAGTGCATTGAGCCAGCGCTGGCAGCAGAGGGAGCAGGTGCCGCATAAGATGAGGTTTCCTCTGTAGCATCGGCTCCTGTCCCAGGTGGAGGGATACCAAGTGCACTTCACCTGCAACCTTTCTAGCAGCCTGTAAAGCGATGCCAGCAGAAGATGGAAGAGGAAAAGAAGGTCAGTGTATTAACTCCTACACTGTGCTTTTGCAATGGGCATACTGGCACCTATAAAAGGTTATTAGGCTGCTTTCACACTGATCCATAAGTGCAACGTCTAAATGCAGGAGTTTTTGGTGCACTTTCAGAAAGTGCACCGCATCTGCAACATGTACATACAGGAATGCTGCAGGTGCACAATTTACATTTGAGGTTTGGGGGGTTGGTAAAACCCCATAGTTGAGATGTGTTTTTGACACACCCTCAAACAATGGTGTGGCATCAGGGGTCGCAACCGAGATCCCATCCCATGCGTCCTCACGGTCACATTCTGTTTTACACTTGGACAGGAGGGACGGCGAGGACAACATACACAGGAACAGATCCTCTTCATTTTCCTCCTGCAACTGGTAAAAGTTGGCTTCTTCTCCTCTCCCTCCCTGTGGCATTCAGCGACTGCAGGAGAACAATTTGCTATTCAAAATAAAAAGTTTGAAATTCTGATACATTTCATTTCATTGTGGCCCATGACCGGTTACCAAATCAATTAAGTAGCCCTCGCTCTTCAAAAAGTTGAGCATCCCTGCAATACAGGACACAGGTTCCTTTAAAACTCGACCATGGGACATCCCCAAGCAAGACACCTGAAGGGTGGGCAACACATCAAACAAGCTAACATGCCTCAACAAGGGAATCAGATTCTCAACTCAAAAGAGTGGCTTGAAGCACCTCCTGGCTGAAGCTGGCATCAGCTGAGACCTGAACAACCACCTGATAAACCTTCATATACTTTTAGGACCAACAACAGCCTTGAAAATCTAAGAAAAATGCCTGGCACTGAGAAACCCAAGAGGCACTGACTGAAAGAGATGAGTGAGCCTTAAGAGGGAAAGGAGGAGCCCTATTCAGAGCATAAGCCTTAGTGATAACCTGCTTAATCCACCTAGAGATGGTGGAATGAGATGCAAGACAACCTTTTTGAGGGCCCACAGGCAAGGTAGGTGTATTTTATTGCAGAAGAGACATTGCATGTCTTCTCTGCAATGAGGAGCCTGCTTGCTCAGTTTGTGACAGTGGAAATTTATTTCTGCTGTATGGAGGAAAGAGACCTGGGCCCTCAAAACCACCTTGTCTTTATAAAGAATGAAGAAGGGTTTCTTACCGTATAAGGCTGCCAGTTTTGGAACCCATCTTGCTGAAATGATAGTTAAGGAAAATGCACCTACAAGGTCAGCCAAAGGAATAAACCGAAGGGGCTAAAAGAGTCTTCTGTTGAGTAAACAGAACCAAAGTGAGTCCAAGGCAAGACAGGTGAACAAACTGGGAGCAGTGTGAGCCACCCCCTTTAGTTAAAAAGAAGATATAGGGAGTACACCAGGAAATATCAGGAGACTGAGGTCCAAGGACTCAGGTGCAGAGTTTTGAGAGGAACCCTGTACAACCTGCTCATAGTCCTGTGTGTAGTGTGCTAGCCAGCCCCCGCATCCGATGTCTGCCATGTGGGTGAGGAGATCCCCTGTGCGGATCAGTGCAAAGAAGGGGTGCAGCCATTCTTTATCCCACAACTGAGGTCGCTAAATAACCAGACGAAGACTGATGTGACGACCCAAGCCACAAACAGGAGTAGAGTAGCAGCTGGAGCTTTGCTGTACCTGTTTTCAGCAAAGTAATACACTCAATGGTGCTGAAGCCAGAGGGAGGGCCTATGCACACAGAATGGACCACTGTATGTTCAAATGAGTCACAGCACATGTGGCAAAACAGTTTAAAGTGGTCACAAAATATGTAACTTGGTCTTGGCCTAAGGTTCTCTCACTTCCCACAGCAATGCTTCGGTGTCCAAGCTGTGGGGTGAGAACTGGGTGTGGGGGAAGGGGGCCAGAGGAAGACACCAGGGAACAGGAACATTCTCAGGGGTTAAACCACAAGGTGAAATTCCCCACTTTACAAGGGCATGCCATGTCTTCAGGGACTGGAACTACTGGTAATCAGACCGCCACTGCCCTGGAACTGCAAATAACAACACAGCGATGTACTGTTGTACTAAAGGTAAGGGTAATAAGTAGAGTATGGAGTGGAAAAACAATGTTACAGGCTGGCCCAGCATTACCAAATTAAGTCTTCAATCTTCCAGTAATGTCAGAAATATGGTCAGCAAGCTGCCTTCAGTAGAAAGATTGTCCATTAGCTAAGTACACTGGCAAAGAACTGAAGATTGCAGGGAGCAGAGGGGTTTTAGGGGATGTCTAAAAAACTTTGTTTGCTAATGTCCTTACCTGACCTGTGGCAGCATGTAACCCTTAGTCAAGGTTTACGTGAACTTGGGTTCTGTACTGTAGGAGTTATAAAAAATACAACATGAATGTCTGAAAAATTCCAAAAAACAAACCACCTTCTGGCTGAGAGTGTGTAAACGATGTCAAGCCATTTTTAACGGGGTTACTGTAAAAAACCGTTAGGGATTGAGGGCGGGGGTGAAATTTAGGCAAGCACAGCTAATCTGCCCACAGTATTTCATTTCCATAAATATTTCATATATACAAAATGTTTTATGCTTTTAATTTTAGTTTAGTTCAGCTCCAAAGCAATGGGTTTTCTTACCAGATAGATCGCTGCTTTCTATCCGCCTCAAGTCTGAATCAGCCCAGAACAGTTTTCCTAATTTGTTATCTAGAGCCAAGGCGATGGGTTTACTTAGGCCAGTGAAGAAGAGAATTTCTCGCTCTGTCCATCAAGAGCCGCTCTCTCTATTTTGGCTGAACGTTCCTGTAAGTTGGTGAAATACATGTACCTGAAAGGAAAGAGAGCAATAGAAGATCAGTTCGTATGCAAGTTTGTTTAAAGTTTTATTAGTGAGAGTAAAGCATACCTCCAGGAAAAAGTCAAAATCAACCTATGTACTGGCAATTATACTTAACCGATTCCTGTCAGCCCTATAACAGAAATACTGCTACAGGGTGGCAAGGGTGTGCAAAATCACACACACACACATATATATATATATATATATATATATATATATATTCTACACACACATACATACACACGTGATTTTGCTTTTCCGGGTAGGGGACGCATGTGAGGCGCACACGTGCCCTACCCACACTGCCACTTGCGGCTGTCAATCACCAGGTCCCAGCCAGTGATTACTCGGCAACGCCCAGTGACTTCCAAGGATCTCTGAGGGGGAGGAGAACGGTTTGTAAAAAAAAAAAAAAAAAAAAAAAAAAAAAACACGTTCTCCCTGTCAGCTCGTGCACACTGCTTTGCATGGCTATGCACAGCACAGCCAAAGCAGTGTGCTTACAGTGAAGCACAGAGTTAACCCTTTGATTGCCCCTCATGTTAACCACTTCCTGCCTAGTGCCATTAGTATAGTGTCAGTTTTGTTTTTGTTTTTTTAAGCACTGATCACTGTGTATTGGTGTCACTGGGGAAATCAGTCTCCCCCCCCCCCCATGTCAGAATGCCCGCTGCAGTCCATCTATAACTTTGCTGATTGTCACCATTACTAGTAAACATAAAAATCCCAGCATATATACTGCCATTAGTAAACGCTATAACTTTCACATAAGCCAATTAATTTACACGTATTGGGATTTTTTTTTTTTTTTTTTTTTTTTTTAGCAAAGACATGTAGCAAAATACATTTTGGTCTAAATTTATGACGAAATTCGATTTTTTACATTTTTTAGTGGACATGCTTAATAGCAAAAAGTAAAAAATATTATTTTTTTTTTTTCAAAATTGTCGGTCTTTTTTTTTTATAGCGCAACAAATAAAAACCGCACAGGCGATCAAATACCACCTGAATAAAGCTCAATTCGTGGGGGGAAAAAAAAAAAAAGGACATACATTTCATTTGGGTGCAGCGTTGCACGACTGCGCAATTGTCAGTTAAAGTAATGCAGCAGTAATGCAAAATGCAGTAATGCAAAAAATGGCCTGGTCAGGAAGGGGGGGTAAATCCTCAGGAGGGCAGGTGGTTAAAGAGTAATTCTGGGATTCTCATGTTCCTCATCTACTATTGTTCTGCCCAATCGATACACAAATCAATCTCAAAACTAATTTACTAGTTGCAGAAAGGAAGCCTCCTATATATTAGTACCTGGAATGTTATCAGTGAACCACCCAATAACACTATGATGCCTGGAAGAGTGTTTGGGCAGCAGTCTCGCATCATTTACAATAGTTTTCTGAAACATTTCCCATGATTCCTAGACACCCAGATCATGTTCTCAGGTAGTCACGGGCAGCAATGTGAGGATTTCGGTATGGGTGCAAAAAGGAAGATAAGTCGAGGACAGGGCAAGTAGGCTGATGATAACTGCATTATAATATACCCCACATAGCTTCACACTGTTTATTACAACACTCTAAGAACCACAGGGGGGCAGTGAGGGAGACCTACCACTGTGCAGATCCTGAGCGGATGCAGGTGACAGTTCAGGTAATAGTGACTTTAGAAGAGGGTATTGGTATTTGCAGTATCTCTCACAAATACAGCGGGTAAAACAAGTATTGAACAGGTCACCATTTTTCTCAGTAAATATATTTTTAGGTGCAAATGACATGACATTTTCATCACGTCAGTAACAACCCATGCAATCCATACATACAAAGAAACCAAAACAAATACATTCAGACGTTAAGTTATGTGTAATATGATGGAATGACACAGGGAAAAAGTAATGAACACGCTAACTGAAGTTAAGTAAATGTTTTGTACAAAATCCTTTATTGGTAATGACAGCTTCAAGACGCCTCCTGCATGGAAAAACTAGTCGCATGCATTGCTCAGGTGTGATTATGGCCAATTCTTTCACACAATCAGTCTTCAAATCTTGAAAGTTCTGTGGGCCTCTTCTATGAACTCTGATCTTTAGTTCTTTCCACAGATTTTCTATTAGATTCAAGTCAGGTGATTGGCTGGGCCATTCTAGCAGCTTTATTTTCTTTGAAATCAATTGAGAGTTTCCTTGGCTTTGTGTTTGAGATCATTGTCTTGCTGTCCACCCTCGTTTCATCTTCATCATCCTGGTAGATGGCAGCAGATTTTTATCAAGAATGTCTTGGTACTTTTTTCCATTCATCCTTCCTTCAATGACATGAAGTTTGTCAGTACCGAACGCTGAAAAACAGCCCCGCACCATGATGTTCCCACCTCCAAATTTTACTGTTGAGATAGTGTTTTTGAGGTGATGTGCAGTGTCATTTGACCTCCAAATATGTTGTGTACATTATGGCATTCAAAGAGATCAATGTTGGTCTCATCTGACCAGACTATATTCTCCCACTATTTCACAGGCTTATCTAAATGATGTGCAGCAAACTTTAAACAAGCTTCATATGCTTTTTCTTCAGCAACGGAGTCTTGCGTGGTGGAGTTTGCATACAGGCCATGGTGGTTGAGTGCATTACTTATGGCTTTCTTTGAAACAATTGTACCCGCTAGTTTCAGGTCTCTGAAGCTCTCCCCAAATGGTCCATGGTTCAGAAATCTTGCGAAGATCACCTGGTCGTGGCCGCTTTATGGTGAAATGATGTTCTTTCCACTTCCAGATTAGGGCCCCTACAGTGCTCACTGGAACATTCAGAAGTTTAGAAATTGTTCTGTAACCAATTCCATCAGTATGTTTTGCAACAATAAGGTTGCAAAGGTCTTGAGAGAGCTCTTGCTTTTACCCATCTTGAGATGTTTCTTGTGTAACACCTTAGCAGTGAGACACCTTTTGATAGGCCATCATTTGAAAACTGAAGCAACTGATATTAATTTTCACTAACAAAGGGCAAAATTGCTTTCTAATTACTGATAGATTTCAGCTGGTGTGTTGGCTTTCCATGCCTTTTTGCACCTCCCTTTCTTCATGTGTTCAATACTTTTCCCTGTGTCATTCCATTTTAATACACACAACTTAATTTCTGAACTTATTTGTTTTGGTTTCTTTGCATGAATGAATTGTATTGGTTGTTACCGACATGTGGTGAAAAATGTCAATAGCGCCTTTAGAAATATATTTACCTAGAAAAATGGTGACGTGTTCAATGTTTATTTTACCCGATGCATTTCTTTGAAGAACGAAAATGTAAAAAAGTACATCTTATTACTTTTGCAGTCAAATTTGAGAACTCCACCATACATTTGTTATGTGTTTCATTCACAAGGCTTAGGATACATGCAATGCAAACTGACTTAAAAAAATGCTGCTTCTACAGGAGTTTTGGGTTTTGCCTGCAGGAGCAGCTCAAAAGGTATTCTATGAGTTTATGCACGTTATATTTAGAGGCACGTTTTTAGCTCAGCGTTTATAGGCAAAACAAAATCCTTCCGGTTTGCGTTTTTGAGTTGAGTTTTTTGGCAGAAAATATGCTACTTGCTCCTAAATATTGTACAAACACTCTAAACAAGTGGTTTTATTTATGCCAAGGGAACTGGCGTTTTTATAAGCCCAGTGTGCATGCAGCTTTACAAAAAAAAAAAAAAAAACTTGGCTGCAAAAGTTGAAATATACTTCAAATGATTTTTGAAAACTGCAAAAACAAAAAACACTACATAAGGAAGTCAGCTAGGGAACTAACATTTTCATGGTTAAGAGACAGTGATCACAGCCATATCATCGTTCCCAGCACAAATTTCTTTTACATGAATATTTGGCCCAGTCTGCCAGGAAGCACAGCATTGTCTACTCACCCCCTCTCAGGGTTCACAAGAATGGCCCTGGGTCGGTCCTGGTCACCTTTCAGGACTACGCCTACAGCACGTCCATCCATACGTGTAACATTGATGACATTGGTGGCTTCACAAGTCCAGTAGATGAAGCGGCTGTAGATGTCAATGCTCATATCATATGGCTGCATGTCCAGGTTCTGGTTAGAATTCGTGTTGGAGACCACAGTTACATTCTATGCAGGACAGAAATACAAAAATGGAGTTATGTTATGTTAACAAAGGGGATCAATCGGAAATGGGCATACTAGTAGGAAAGTTGCCAATCAGGAAAAAATTTCTTTTCTTTTTTGTTACTCACTGTCTGAGTTCATTGAGAGACACAGCTCTTCTCTTGTTGGCCAGGGTAACACTGACACAAACTCTGGTTTGTCCCAGCAAAATGTGACTCGTGATCGCCCTTGGTCCAGGATGGGGCAGTCGACCCAGCTCGTAGCTAAAGTTCTGGGTGCGCTCATTGGCCACTGGGGGGGCCACACTGGGGGGGGGGGGGTGTCTGAACCCAATGTATTAGTTTCTGTGCATTTAGTAAAGGACTCTTGGAAAATTGAAATGTGTATCTGCTACCATGAATAATTACATATGCACATTACCATGAACAATTGACAAGTAAGCTTCACAAAATTAAGGCCCAACAAGTTTACTGGTTTCCAGCTCCCATCCCCTTGAAGCACCCTCCATTCGCAAATGATTTTTATCTGCACCTGACTTGCTGTTATAGGGCTTAAAAAAGTGTGGCAGCACTACAGAAGGAAGAGGTAAGTGGGATAGTGGCCACAGTCAGTTCAGTCCCTTTGCCATGGTAGAAATTAATTGTAAACAATCCAGGTCTGAATGATACGGCTGTACAGTTGGAGCCGCAATAAACAAACCATTAGACCTTTTGAACAGAAGAACCCTGCAATTCTTTAAGTGGGGGGGTTGACAGCTGGTTCGCAACCAAGCTTCATGGTAAATCCTAAATATGTGTTTTAAAATGAAGCATGGTCCAAAACATTATCAGAACACAAAGACAATCTCATCTATCTACTGCTGCATCTTCAATGTCGAGTCACAGGCTGAAGGTTCATCCTTTACTCACTTGACCACATTACTCTCTACAGGAACAAAATATCTAATAACAGTTTCCTGCTAGGCTACAGACACATCATACCTGACTCCCATCTTCAAGGGCACGTCGGATAGTCTGCCGGGAATCGATCCAGTACAGGTGCTTCTCCACAGGGTCATAGTCGATGGCACGCACATTACGCAAGTTGTGAATTGGAAGAATGATATCAGGGCTCTGCTGTTCATCAATCACCATACGGTTGATGGCATTTTTCTGACTGAATAGCAGGAATGAGCTAGGCGCTGCAAGAGATGGGTAAAGGGTCATTTTATGATACATGCTCAGATTTCTAAGGAGCTTGCCAAATATTGCCTGGACAAGGTGCTTACCGCTGCATGTCTTGTTGTCTGGGTTCAGGAAATAATGGACAGGACAGCCGCAGGTGTAGCCACTGACAGGCGTGGCAAGACAGAGGTGAGAGCAGTGACCGTTACTGGATGCGCACTCGTTCCAGCCAGACTGTCGGGAGGAATGAAACACTAGGATATCCATGACATAGTCCAGGTGGCCCTGTATGATGGTTCGGTTCTGGCCACTGGTTTTATTGGCTCTCTCGATACTTCTGCGGCTCCAGTCTGTCCAGTATATAAAGTCCTGGTACTGGGTCAGCCCAAAAGGGTGAGGCAGGTCATCAGCTATCACTTCTCGGTCTTGTCCTGTGAAAAGAAATGGCAAGCATGGTAAGTTTCAAGAAAAGACAGGGAAAGACCAGGCGTCATGTACAAAAGTGACTAAAAGTAGACCTATTGTGGGGGCTGCAATGTTGACCTCTATGTCTGAAAACACTCTCTGACTGGCTGTCACAAAAACAAAATGGTTTTAATAACTTCTGAGTCACTGACCTGAACACAGTACACAGATAAGGTGTTCTGCGTTTTTAACCTGTATGCTGTATGCCAAGTAATCAGTTAAGAAAAAAGAAAAAAAAAAAACAACAAAAACCACATGGAGCCAAGTATCTTGCATTTTCAGAAGGAAAATTATGCCAACCTGTGAAAATGTAGGCATAGATTTTCTATAAAACTAGCAGTAAATTGCCACCTCCGATGTGTTATACAAACTACCTATGTCATTTCTGTCATTTTTGGATGCAAACCTTATAAATTTAAAAACAAAACAAAAAAACTAGTTGTAAAGCCATGCATTAAAATCTAGTTTAAACTAACATGTTAGTTAATGTAAATTTAGTAATTTGTATTTATTTTTTTTAAACTTCAGCTTAAATCTCGGATCTATGAACACAGAGAACAGACTGTATATATTTAACTAAGCCTGATGCTCCACCTGCTGACTTAAAAAGGAGGAAGAAAAATACCGATATAAAATGCATCACACTTTTCTGATTTAAGGAAAAAAGTGTTAAAATGTTTTTTTTTTGTGGCTGCTACCAGAACAATGAAATGATGCACAAAAACCACCACACATTAGAAGAAAGCAGCTCAATGTCACAGAAATTAATTGGCTTTCTCCTTTGATAAGCAGGTTCCATAATCACATAAGTATGAGGAATCTATGTGCTTCCATTTGTGCACTGAAACTAAAAGAGCCAGCAGAGAGGACATCTTGGGGGCTACAGCTTCCACAGCCATCTACAGTACTAAATTAGCCTCTCTGTTTCATCTTATTTATCAAAGGACACACATGCTTGAAAAGAGTACAACTGCGGAACATTAGTTCAATAAACCTTATGACCTTGTGCGGTTTCATTCATAAAGTTGTTGAATAATTAACATACATCTTGCAGTGAAATGTGTATCGGGGAATGGAGAGATGTAGAGTCAGGAAAAGGGCCTTTAAAACTGAGGCAAGGAGCGGATAGGTTCAGGAAGAAACTGATAGAAGGGGAAGCTTTTATACAAAGCGGATCAGTTACTTAAAACAGCATGTTTAACATTTCCCCCTGCAGATAAATCCTTTTTAATGCAAATGAAGTCAGAGCAGCAAGTGGAGTTTGGCACCTGTCCATGGTGCTGCTCATTTCCTCCACAGAAACATTCCAGCCACAGAGAGAAGACAGCAGCCCGACGGGCACAGCTGGGAGGCAGCTTATTTACCTGCAGTAAGAGAGCTGGCTCTGAGCCCTGCCGACAGCTGGCCCTTCCACAGCTCCACTGCATTTGTGTATAGACTTGGAGCTCTGTCTTATTGTGTATAATATCAACATGGACAACCCATGCCATTTATCAAATATTACCCTTGAGATGAAGGTTGGTGAAAAATTTTAAACAGCAGCAACAGAAATGGCACAGACTTATTAAAATGAAGATGTACTAAAGTATGTTTTTTTTTGTTTTCTTTACTACTAGACACAGCTTTTACAAACATTACTACAAGCCTTCACTGGGTCAAAAAAATAAATACAAAAAAAAAAAACAAACAAACCCTACAACATGAATATATAATGTGAGCCTTTATGACTCTAGCACAGTTTTTTTGAACAAAAAAAAAAAAAAATCTAAAAGCTGTAGTAACAGTAACATACTGGCTAGCAGGAAGAAACACTGCATGCAAAGAAAATCACTAGTATTTAAAAGGCACCTCCACGTTAGTTTTTCTACTGACCACACGTCTGCTAGCATGCAAACGTGGGCGAACGTTCATGGTTGAGAAACTGACCTTCCTTCCATCCACTTAGCTAATTTGTCAGTCATAATATTGTGATGTGGCGGCAGGCCCTTTACCACAGGAGTTAGTTTAAATTGGTTCAGAGGTATTTTGCACAGATTGCCTCCAGAAATTCAATTTTTTGCAAATTTTAAAACAGGCTTATAAAGTGCTATTTCTACTGTGTCTACAAAACAGTTCTAAGGATGCTGAACTTACCCAGCATGTTGGACGACTCAATGAGGTTGGTGTCAAGGTCTGTCCAGTATAGTCGTCTCTCTGCATAGTCAATTGTCAGCCCATTGGCCCGGCCCACATTGGGTACCAGAGTAATTCGCTCATTGCCATCCATAGAAGCCCTGTCGATCTTGGGTTTTCCTCCCCACTCTGTCCAATACATAAAGCTATATAGGGAGCAAAGACAGTGGAAGTAAACACAATTACAGAATTTAAAGTGTTCCTAAACGCAGGAGCCTGCATTCACTATATCCAGTCTTCCACAGTATACAGAACATGGAAATGCAATTATTTTACTAAATACAAACTGCTAAATACCTTTTCTCATCAGCAGTTAGAGCAGTCTTGTGACTTCTATCAGTGTCCAGCAGAGCACTGGGTAAAGCTTGTAGGAGTTTTCATTCTCCTCTAGGAGGATGCAGAACCCCTGACCTCTGTCTGGACAGTGCTGACAGGCCCTGTGCTGATCACATGCACTCTCCCAAGAAAAATAAAAATAGAAACTCTAGCAATACACACCAAAAACTGAGTATGTGCAGAGTGTCTCCACACAACATGTCTTATCAGGAGATAAGAGGGGGACACTGGAAGAAGGGGAGGATCAGAGAAGACAGGATCAAAAAGCATTTATACACAATACAGAGGATTAGCCCCTTAGGCTCCACAGTGAGTATAGCAAGCATGCTTTACTGCATATACAGATTGATTTTTACTGTTGTGGGATTAGTAACACTTTAAAGCAAAAGCTGCACATACTACAACTACTTGTAATTGCACTATGGTCTTGGGTTTGAATCCCAACCACAACACTACCTATCTGGAGTTTGCATGTTCCCTCTGTGCTCGCATGGGTTTCCTCCAGTTTACTTCTACACTCCAAAAACATGCTGGTAGGTTTATTGGCTCCTGTCTAAAATTGGCCTTAGTATGTGTATGTATGAATGTGAATTAGGGACTTTAGATTGTAAGATCCTTGAAGTCAAACTGATATGAATAAAGAAATATCCTCCTGCGCTTTAAATGGGGACCTAACCCTAAAAGCTGCCGACACTAACCTTATACCTATTAGGTGACGTGACTAATTAATACAAAAAGTGTAGCGCTAAATAAATATGCAATAAAAAATATCACGTGACTTCCTCGTACCCTGAGGATACTCTGAGGAAGTCACGTGACGCAATGCGTCGGTACGCGAGGAGGTACTTCCGGGTGCGCGGTGACGTCACTTCCGGCGTGGGGGCCATATTGGAACACCTTTGGATATCCATGGAGTGCACCTCTAACATGAAGTGATACGGAGCTGTGCATAAGAAGGATCTACATGTGAGTGGGCAATCTATATTATATATGTTTAAATAAAAACGGATTACACTATGGAAGCTTTTTTTGTCTATCTATGATCCGGGGAGTGTGATACTGCACTGTATGGAGGCTTGGAATGAGGAGCGTTCATTTGCTTGAGGGGAGCCTGTGAGGAATCTGCCCTTATCAGGATTGGTGTTAACCTTTGATCGAGCTGACCCTGTGGGGTCGAGATAAGGAGGTGAGGGGCCACTCAGGTCACTGGAGGATTGATCATGGATTATACACAATCACTTGCATGACAGTTGAATTGGAGCACTTTCATCGGATTATATATAGTGTATATATATGCACTGTGTGTGGACTGTTTTTGAGGTTTATATTATTTTTGTGAGAGTCACTGTTGCATTTTTGTGTGAGTAACTTGCACTTGTTATATTCCCGTAGTGGGAAGTCACGTGTTGCACAATTTGTGTGTTATCCCCTTTTTTGTGTGTTTTTAAGGGGACTTTGTGTGTCACTATATTGTTCATTATTTAATATATTTTTTATTGTATATTCATTTAGCGCTACACTTTTTGTATTAATTAAACTGATATGAATGTACAATATAAAATGCTGTGTAAATTGATGGCGGTATATAAAAACCTTGGCCATGCAAATATATTTATTTATTGTCTGATTCTGGAATTCCTCAAATGCTTTTTGGGTCATTAGAAGCTTGTAGGATTCTTCGATTCTGCTTGCTAGATCTCCAGGTATTTTTCTGTATTTGCAGTATTTTTAACCCCTTCACGCCCAAGGGTAAAACAAATTTTAATGCCCAAGTAATTATTAGTAGTTTAATTTGTACATCCAGGTAAATTATCTTTTCTTTCAGGATAAATTGGGCTTTCAATTGGTGGTAAATGGTAATGAATATCTGAATTTTTTTTTTTTTTATCAAAGGAAAAAACTGGGCCAAATTATAAAAAAAATAATAAATTGATAGATATATATTTATTTATTATTTATTTTTGAATGTAGCTGCGTGTTTCTTGTTACTACTATAATCTACCAAAGAACAACCCAAAATAAATTCTCAAGCTACTGACGATCACAGCGATACCATATGTGTATGCTATTTCTACCCGTAGTACAGGAGAGAGCGAGTGAGAAATATTTACAATGCATCTCTCTCCTCCATTCAGAGAGAAAGCAAACAGAGTTGGTCTTCACAGTGATAACCAATCAGAGGCTATTACAGCAATCAGGTGACCGGAATCAGGAGTTCTGGGTCCTGATCATTAGTACAGAACTGGGGTCTCTCAGTGACACCCAGCCTTTGTGCTGGGAAAACATCGTGGAGCGCTCCCAGCACACAGATACACAAATATGGGGCGCAAAAAAAAAAGCCCAGTTCTGTGAGGCGGCATATTTGTGTGACACCAGCGCCAAGGACTTTAAAGTTGAACTCTGGGATAAGCAGATATGGACTGAGTACAAAAGACATGTGTATTCTCACTTGAATCTTGGTGTACTTTGTGTGTTTCTTCAATAATTGTGTAGTAATCCAATGTAAACCTTTGCCTCTGTGCAGGGGATTCTTGCAATAAAGACCACTCTCCCCTTGTTCAGGGTGACTGGTCTTGTATTGAACCTTGTGTAGTCTTCTGCAGGCAGCCTGTAGTGGGTGGGGCCTACTGAGCCTCTCACAGCTCTGCCTTCTGCACAGGCTATGTACAGCACAGTGATGATGTAACTGCTATTTTTACAAGGTGATATCTGGGTTTCGAAAGGGAATTTGGTGCACAAAAAGTATATTTATAAAGGAATATATATGAAAAAAAGTTTGTGCCCCGGAGTTCAGCTTTAACAAAGGCCTCCTGGGTTCCCTCCCACAGCTCTGCTCAGGTTATGCGCAGCAGTGAATATTTCACAGCTATTTGATACTGTCTGGGTTTGTAAATGTGGTGCACACAGTGGGTTCATATCCTTTGTGGGTATTGAGAAATATTTTAAAAATAAAATGTTTCGTGCCCAGCCTTCAGCTTCAAAAGCATAAAAACACAAGGAAATGTGCATTTTTTATTTTGTTTATTCAAACAAACTTTACCAGAGCTCTGACAATGTAAACTGTACATACATTTATGAAGGTTTGTAATAGTTCTTTAACATATACACCTGGTTGTAATAAGAGATTCTGTGTACATAAACCTTCCCTTGGATCTAGTGGCAGCAGAGCATTGACCTAGTTAACATGTGAGAAGAGAAAGGCGAGGAATGGAGCAGTGCCCAACACAGGGCTGTCTGGCTGAATGACCAGATAGTATTTCAGGTTTGTGTTCCCAGAGAGGGTAATTACTGATAGTAGACCAGGATGCAGAGCGGATAATGTGCCTTTGTTATGGCAAAGAGAGCAGGGGACAAAGAACTACTGAGATCTGGAAAAATAAAGATCTACTATTTTTGTGGAATTTTCCATTTCCTTTTAAGGATATTATATCATAATACCCCTCGGTTATAAATTGTGTACAGTCAGCCTGCTTTTGGAGATCAGGTAAAGAAAAAACACTATAGTGAAAAGGCGGTAAACCTAAAGTAGGTATTTGCCATGTTACAGCTGTACTCCAGAAAGACAAAAAAAAAAAAAAAAAAAAAAAAAAAAAAAAAAGGTACACATTAATCACTTCCCAACCGCCATATAGCAGAACTGCTGCTACAGGGCAGCAGGGCTGCACAAAATTACGTATATATACGTGATTTCGCATTTTCGGGTAGGAGGCGTGCACACCACCATTGGCGGCTACAGATTTCGATCACCGGGTCACGGCCAGAGATTCCGTGTCGGCACCCAGCGATCACAGAGTATCACTGACAGGGCAGAGACCTGTGTGTAAACACAGGTCTCTCTCCTGCCAGCAGTAACATGCTGCTGTGTATTTCTCTGCACAGCAAAAATACACAGCAGTATGTTTCCCTAGTAAAACAGCACACAGTTAATCCTTTGATCGCTCGAGATGTTAACCCCTTCCTGCCCAGTGTCATTAGTATAGTGTCAGTGCTTTTTATTAGCACTGGTCACTGTATTAGTGTCATTGGGATGTCCGTGGCAGTTAGTCAGTTCCCCCCCAGTGTCAAAATGCCCGTCGCAGTCCCGCTGTAAGTTGCTGATTGCCGCCATTACTAGTATAAAAAAAAAATCCCAGTATATATTTGTAGTAGCTATAACCTTCATGTAAATCAATTAAATTATACGTATTGGGATTTTAATTTTTAGCAAAGACATGTAGCTTATTATTTTGGCCTAAATTTGACAATTTGATTTCTTAAATTTTTTTTACTGGATATGATTTATAGCAAAAAAAGTCAAAAAAATATTTTTTTTTTCAAAATGGTAGGTCTTTTTTTGTTTATAGCACAAACAATAAAAACCGCAAAAAAAAAAAAAAAAAAAGGGACACACATTTCATTTATGTATAGTGTTGCATGGCCGTGCAAATTGTCAATTAAAGTAACAGCACCGTATCGCAAAAAATGGCCTGGTCAGGAAGGGGGGTAAATGCTCTGGAGGGCAAGTGGTTAAACTGACTGTAAATGCTAACATTTTTTTTTTTTTTTTTTTTTTAACAAAACAGGTTTATACTTACCTGGTCTTTGCAATGAAATTGCACAGAGCTGCGCCAGACCTACTCTTCTTGGGTTCCTCGCCAGTACCCCTGGTGGATCTGTTCCCTATTTGTCTATCGGATTAGATGACAGTCAGATGTAGATTGGACAGATGGTCCGTTTGCATCCGGCCATCTCAGAGAGCAGCGGGCTGTGCCTGTGTCCGCTCTGCACAAGCAGACATGGACCTGTTGTCTGCCCACTCAGCAGGGATCAGTGGACAAATCCCCTACTGAACAGACAGAATTGCTTTGCGCAGTCCATCCATCTGAAAGGGGCCTAACTTTTTAAGCCAATCTGCATAGCCATAGCCAAGTCTACAGATACATCAAAGAAAGCTTCTGTCTCACACAGCATTACAACACCTGATTGTCTTATGTCCGACCATGAGTGTACACTCAAACATCATCTAGGGTTAATTACTCTAAATAACTGGCAAGTGTCTGAAAATATACATTGATTTTTCTCACATAGCTTTACTCCATCAGAAAGTCTATACTGAAATTGACTTCTGGCAACTCACCCATCTGCTGGATCCAGAGCCAATGCCCGTGGGCTGTCCAAGTCTTTCCACACCAGTATCTGTCGATGCAGGCCATCCAGCTTGGAAACCTCAATACGATTTGTACCAGTATCTGCCCAGTAAAGGTTCTTCCCCAGCCAGTCCACAGCCATGCCTTCAGGATAATCCAAGCCAAATTGGACCACATGTTCTAGAGCACTTCCATTCATGAACGCCCTGCTAATTGTCTGTAAGGAAAGAAAACAAGTGCTCATTACAGAAACAGACTGCATGGCTTACAAAAAAATCTCACGTTATCCCAAAAGATGTGAGTGGTGATCAAGTGACAAGGCGGCCTACCAACTATAGAGCCAAATGTGTTTAAAATGCAGCTGTCAACCCAATGTAGAAGCCATCCTGCAAATTTCAAGCTAATGTAATAAGATTGTGTACACCTAATATGGTCAGGAATATAGTAGGGTAACAGTGTGTTTTTAGATACTGCGGGATGGTCAGCTTTAAAGGAGAATTTTACCTTCAGGAACATGTTTTTAGGGTTGAACATATAACATATTCCTGCTCCTGTAGCTCTTCTACCAATCAACCCCCTCCCCCCATGACAGCGGGCTGAGAATCTTCTCCTTGCACCCGCTGTCACCAATTTGAATAGAGCGCGTCCGTACGGGGCTTTGCCCACCCGGCCGCATCATTCATTCACACATTTCTGCAAATTAATAGACTAGAATGACTAGACTACAAGTACTAACAGTCTTTGCTACTGGCAGCTTGTAGTTCTCAATGAACTACAAGCTTGTTGATGAGCATCCTCATAGCTCATGGATTCTTCCTGGACTGAAGTAACTGCCTGCCCGTATCGGAGATAGGGGAAGATAGCTACACTGAAAGTCTGCAGGAGCCTGACATTGCACCCGCAATCTGATTTGCGGGTGCAATGCTTTACAGTCTCCTATTAAAAAAAATAGTAAATGCACATTTTTGTACCTGCAAAAATGTGCTTTTTTTTTTTTTTTTTTTTTTAAAAGGTGAACTTATACTTTAAATTTAGAGCTCTCAGAGTGGCAGCCCAGCCATTAAAATGTGTTTAAAGTGTTAGCTCACCTTTTCAAAAAAAAAAAAAAAAAATGTTGGCAAAAGATTTTCTAAAAATATCTAAGAAAAAAAATATAGATTAACAGTTTAAAAAGTACCAACTGTAATTTATGCTGTCAATGCGATATAGGCAACATACTGCCAACGCATGGAGAATCTCAGATAAGCACATACCTTTAAACTGATGTCTGTCCAGTAGATGCGGTTATCGGTCACATCAAAATCAAGAGCGGAGGCTTCCTTCACGCCAGTCAGTGGAATGGCTACATTGTTATTATTGGTCTCTAGCGATATGCGGCGGATGTCAGCTCGGCGGGAGAACAGAAGAAATGCCTCTGGTACAATACAAGTCTTCATATCATTGATCAACTCCAGCCCTATGGGACACGCGCACCGAGGTCCCTGCGGTCGATACAGGCACAGATGGCTGCAGCCACCATTGCTGTCAGCACAAGCATTGGAACCTTAAAAAACGAAAACAAAAAAAATTAAAAAAAAAAAACAAATATATATATTTGCTGTGTATTCCCATAAATACAAATATCACAAGCAGCACACAAGCAGCTCACCTGATAGCTTATGAATGTTTGTGGCCTTCAAGCCCATCAAATCAGGCAGCTGGTCAATGATCACCTCACGCTCGCTCGTGTGTTTGTGGACTCTCTCAATGCTGCGTCTTTGCCAGTCCGTCCAATAGACGTAATCTCCCAACAGTGTGAAACCAAAGATGTGTGGCAGCTTGTCCTCCACCAGCACCCTGCGCCCGCTACCATCCATATTCATGACCTGGAAACAAAATAGAGAGAATCAAAAACAATTACAATTAATGCACAATTATACAAATAGGCAGCAGTGTTGCATGCCTGGGAAAAGGAACTGAAGAGCCCTGTAAGCTTACTGTATATACTTTCCGGGTTGTTAATGAACAGTTAACACTTCAGGAGTGAGATGAAAGAAAGGTTACACAGCTTAGAAGCTGCAGTTTGCCTAAAAGAAACATCTTTTTTAAAATGTTGCTGCCATTAAAAGAGCAACTGAATTTTCAGATTAAACCTTCTAAATACATCCCAGGTACACTGAGACAAAAGGAGTACAAAGTCTTATAGTAGGTTTTCCTTGGAAAGCAAACAGCTTGAGCAGAAAGCCTGCCTCATGCTATCGTCCTGCAGAAAAGGACCATTGCTCTGTGTGCAAGCAGTGGTCTCTTTGCAGAAGTCTAACACACCCACGAGACCGACAACTCTGCAAGAAGCAAAGTTCATGCTGACTGGAAAGCTCTAGCTTTAAAATGTTAAGGGCATGACAGACCTCTGCAGGAAGGCTGCTGCTTCCACACACAGCATGGGCTCTATGCAACGTTTTGGCCAGTTTTGTGGACAAAGTTCTTATAACATTACATAGTGCACCACTTTTACAATATGTCTGTCTGAACTCGAGACAGCACACACAGTGGTGTTCATTTTTGTGTATACCTGAAATAGCAGCAACACACACAAAGCAGCAGTAACCCCCCCAAAAATATTTGCGTTAAAAAAACAAGCAAAACTGAATTGAAAAAAAAAAAAATAATACTACTACAAAAGTAAAGCATGATTTAAAAAGATGTAGGGCTGTTTTTTTCCCGGTTATACTTACCTAGGTGGTGTGACGATCGCGGCGTCAGACCCCTGACCTTCTCACCAAACTCGTGACCAAAGGACTAGCCAATCTAAAACCGCAATGTCACGTGCATAACAATGCCACACCCAGCTGCAATCTGCACAACGATTTTCCAGCTCACTGGACCACAAATTGATGTACCGGCAGCCTGAGCGCGATTTTTACTGGGTCAGATTAATTATGCAATTAATCCTTCACACTGCCACCACCTCCTTTTTGTACAAAGAGGAAACTCGGCAATATCAGCAATAACACTAGGATGATTGGATTGATCGTCTATATACCACTGTCACCGCATACAGGTTATACAGAGGGTTAAACACACAGTAGCGCTTCTTCAGCGGCAGGAATTCGTAAGTTGCATTAAAGGAGCTTTAGAAACAGTTCAACACTTTCAGCAAGAAAAGATTACTAAAAGGTCAAAAGGGTGCAATAAAAATATTTACAGAAAAAATATGTAACATCTATCTATCTATATATATATATATATACATACATATATATACACACACACATATATATATATACACACATACATATATATACACACATACATATACACACATACATACACACACACACACACACACACACACACACACACACACACACACACACACACACACACACACACAGAGCAATAACACAGCAAAAAAGATAAACAGAAAGAAGTTTAGGTAGACAAGTACTTGCCAAAAAGCCTTGGGTTAAGCAGCTTCAAGTCTCATGAGCCAAAAGGGTACCGTCTCCCAAGTTGGTTCTGATGTTAAAAGGGAGAATTCTTCAACCTCAACCCTTAGGCCTGACAGCCTATTTTGTAGTCCCCAAACAGGCGGTGTCTCTGAAGCCAAGGACCAATGCCTCATTTGGGGAGGGGTTGTCTGGGCGGAGACCCAAACTAGAACCAAAATCTCTCGTAGCTCATATTTTGGCTCATAACTTTTCCTAGGCACAAGTAACATTCCACCCGCTGGTAGATTAATATGCAGACGCATCTGAGGAACGGTTAGATATGAAATATGAAATACATACTTGAAAGGTTCAAGAGATGTCATTTTATGCTTTTCTATTTATTCCAGCCAGCGAGTGTGACCTATCAAACAATTTGTCTGATCGTGGGCAATCTGAAGATATGCCTGGTTTTTATGTAAGTCTCTCATATTCCGAGATATGGGATATAGGAGAAAAATGGATTTTAAAAGTGTTATCTAGTTTCTTACTCCTCTGGAATGTCTTTGAACTCAGGGGAAGGCTTGGGTTATCCTTTTACGAGGTGCCAGACTGCACAGCTTCCCAGGCAGCCCAGCACCCACCGTGAATGTTATAGCAAGAGCAATAATTCTAGCACCAGAATTCCCCTGCATCTCTAAACTGTTATGGCTTTAAACGCGTTCCTTTGGAGATTTTTAAGTACCGCAGTTTGGCGTGACATGTTAGGTATCTATTTACTCTGTGTAACATCTTTTACATTTTACTAAACAATCACGTTATATTGTGTTTTTGTCCATTACAATTCACTCACGTGCATCTTTTCCCAAAAAAACTGCGTTTGAAAAACCGCTGCATAAATACCATGTGACATAAAAACATTGCAATGCCCACCATTTTATTCTGAGGCCTCTGCTTAAAAAAAATATATATGATGTTTGGGGTTTCCAAGTCATTTTCTAGCAAAAAATATAGTATTAGAATTGGCCTGGTATTGAAGTGGCTAAAACATACAGTGATGTAAACTTACTGAAAAGTATACAATGAGCCTGGGTTCACACTGATGTGGTGCAGAAGTCGCAGCAGCTTCTGTGTGAATTCCGCACCGCATCACAATCGCACCCAGTTCATGCAAACCGCTGCGGGTGTGTATGTTAAGTCAAACACCCTGCATATTGCATATCTGTGTGGTCATGCCCGAGACTGTCTCATTTTTGGTCTCATTTGTTTGGCCTCCTTTTCACCTTGTTCCATTTCTCCATATGCCGGGATGCTCGGTATGCTTTGCTTCATTGTCTCATACTGGGCCTCTTGGCTCAACAGCAGAAGTTGGCTTCCTATTTGTTTTTGTTGGCCACTAGAAAAATTGCTCAGGCCTGAAGGAGCCAGTTTGTCGTCCTTCAGGGGGTGCGGGACCATATGACCACTATGATGCTCAATGAACAGATGTTGAGTATCTGCAACGACTCCCAATGTAAATTCTTGAAAATATGGGAGCAGTGGTTGCAATATGCCTTTTCCACGCTCCCCCCAGCTAGTCTGGGGATGTGATGTTGCTCGGTATTGGCATTCTTGGACCCCTGATCTTGGTTTTGTTATCTTTTTTCTTTTGTACTCCTCCTTCCTTTTCTTTGTTTTTAGCGTGGCAGTGGATAGCTGCCTTTAGTTTGAGTTACTATCGGTGTTATACTAATGTTTTGTTATTTAAGTGCCATTGATAGCCCCTGCATGGGTGCACCTGATGGTGTTAGAGCACTGTTTTTTCTAATTTTTTATGTGCAATTGATAGCCCCTGTGTGGGCATGATTTGTTGCTCCTGTGTTAAACTGTTAAAAATTGATAAAAACCATTGAAATAGAGTGCCACTACAGCAAACTGCAAAGTATAGTACTGAGTGCCCCTATAGCAAGGTATAAAAAAAAAAAAAACAAAAAACTGCTGCTTTTATCAATTCATCTCCTGCCCAGGACTACATGCCCCATGATGCATTGCTCCTCACACATTCACAATCACAAGTTCTCAGGCACTTACTGACATGTATGGATGGTGTACTGAGCTGTAGGTATGCTGCACTGTTATTTTCTGAAATGTAAACAAATAATGCATTCTGTGTGCAGGCCAACTAATCGGCTGACCAACTAATCTCATCAAAATAGTTGACAACTATTTTCATAATCTATTATGTCAATTAGTTGTTTCAGCCCTAGCACCCTCTGCAACAAAAAGTACCATTTTTGGTCAGGTATTCCCAAAGGTTAATTACTTCTAAAAGAACGCAGACACTGCAACTTTTCTCATCAGAACACTAAAAAGTGCATCAGCTGATAATGAAACAGACTCTCTTATTCATCATCAGTATTCAAAAGGACGCTGTCAAACCGCCACTCCTTCAGGCAAGGTTCACACTATGCAGTTTGCGTTTGTTCTGTTTCTGCAGTGCCTTTTGCGCTGCGTTTGACGCGTTTTGCTTTTTTGACAACTTGTTGCTGGGCAGATTAAACCACAAAACGCATCAAAAACACTACATGCATTTCTACAGTAACTCAGTTGAAGTCATTGAACCAAAACTCAATGTTTTGCATTTAAAAAAAGTCTCTGACCCTTTCCAAAAAAAAAAACCCCAGATGAAAAACGCAGTTATGTGAACGTATCCCATAGGAAATCATGTTAAATGTACTGTAGTGAATTTCTGCTAAATGCAAAACACACCACAAAATGCTTAAGTGTGAACCTAGACTCAGCAGAAAAAGGTAGGAAACTGCAACAAAGTGTTAAAATTCTTTCAACTTACATTGACCATCCAGAGTGGATTTTTTCCCTCTCAACAAAAGTAGCGTTGCACCAAGTCTTACGCAAACTACATTTTTCTCCTTCCATCTGCTAAAAAACCAAGGTAAATCTAATCTCTGGTGGTTTTTACTCTGGGAACCGCCAAGCAGTATGGAGTTTCACATTCTGGGTCAAAGTCTAAACACAGAGAAACCACAGAGCAGGAGAAAGGAGAGCAGAGGAAACATGTGGCTTCAACCACATCGACCCAGATCCTCTGGCTGATAGCTGGCAAGGAAGGCACCAGCAAAACGATGCAAGACCAACCCTATTACCCGGCTTCAGAATGCCAGACATCTGACTATATCAAATGTGTTAAATTAATCATCCAACTGCAAGACCAAGGAGGCAATTGTTTGTTTCTATTATTTTTCTAATATTTTTCTGAATACTTGTCTGGGGTGAGGAGAGAAAATGCACAACCCTCCCTCATCCAAAACTGATTTTATACACAGCCAGAGGGTTCATCAACATACAAGCCAAGTTATCAGCACACAGCGGCTGAATACAATTATCATAATTGGAAAATCACTGTTTCATTGAAATCCTGCTTACATACCATTACACACACTCAGCCCACACTTTACCGG